CATGTGTCATGTGTGTCAGCTATGACTCCTGAAAAAACAACCACCATCCGCCCTACCTCCAGCCATTATAAACTGGACAGGGCAGTCTGATGCTTGGTCCCAAAAGAAGCATGGCCGGAAAGGTGTCCCCTGAAAAGACTTCCTAATAGCTTCTGGGGAAGGCTTGGTCTCCTTTAGAACTGTGTGGGAACTGATTAGGATTCACCATTCCTGACTGGAAGGGTACTTTGGGGCCTCTTCTTCCTAATGCCTTGTAACCTCCCCAGGAGTCTTGGAGGAATCCAGTGGTTTAAGAACATGAGCTCTGCTGGATCAAAGGTCTATTGGTTGGTCGACTAGATGCCTCCATGGGATGCCCCTAAATGGGACATGAGCACAACAGCATCATGAGGATCCCAGATCCCATCATGGTGGGAGGCTGCAAACAGTTTCTGAAGTGTTTTGTATGAGTTGCCCAGGGTGCTTTGTCTTTAGCAGAGGGCCACAAGAGGCAAACTGACAGGAACATAGTCAGATACTGTGAATGGTGAAGAACTGCAGGTAGGAGAAGGCCCTCCATTTTGAGTCCAAAGGCGAATCTCTGAGGAAAAGGAGGGAGCAGCTGTCTCCTGTGAAATGTGGTGTGGGAACAAGAGATAAGCAAGTCTGACACAGCCAAGGGGAAGGCTGGGATGCCTTCCTGAGTAGTCAGCACGGTTCACATGAGCCGTTTCTCTCTCTCTCCACACTGATGTGCACAAGCCTAGGATGTTAATTTCTTAATGCAGTGAGGGGAGAACTAGGTGGACTCTCGGGTTGAGGGCCTCTTTTCATTCCTGTCTGTCTCTGATGCATATTTTTGGCCTTCCTATGCCTTAAAAATCAAATACAGTAACATCAAACCAAATCATGCACACTTTCTTCCTCACATCTTGACTATTTTGGGGGATGATGGTGTCCAACAACTCATGGGTACCAGAAACATTATTGTCTTTAATTCTAACTTGCACCAATTTTAAAATTCCTTTTCTCCATATACTATACTACATGTTGGTACTTATTTCCTTACTGAAATTGACTTCCCATGTTACCTTAAGAATGTTTTTTTAGCATTTTCTATCCCTAACAATGAATTATAAATCATTACTACCTGTTTGATTGATTTTTTTAAATAAAGGCATTGCCTGCTCTTGTATTTGTCTTGTTTTGCCAATTCATGGATGCCATACAGTCAACAGCTGGAAGCTATGAACAATGTAGTGTTAGAAGCAGTTACTGTACAACATCACAGCCAATGGCGTAGAAGTTCAACAATACAATCCTGTCCTTTTATTACATCACACTGTAAGTATGGATCCCCTCTCAAAATATTCGCTCGAGGATCATATGTGAGAGCAGCCCAGATAGACAAAGGGGTAACCATGCTTTGTCCATGCTCTCCTGTAAACAGGTGAGGGTCCCAGAGTGTTTGTATTAGAGCCTGATGTGTGTTGAGCTAGAGTTAAAATAAACACAGAAGAAGCCCCTATGCCCAGTTCCGCACATTTTCCCTTGTGAAACACCCTCCAGGTTTAGATTTACCAAACTTGTCCTACGTAAGGGAGGAAGTTAGAAAACCACAGTTCCATCCCAGATTTTCTACTGTGCATTCTCAATTCAGATAAAAGATGCAAGTAGAGACCATCTGCTTTTAGAAGGTGAAGGACAAAGAGACAGAGTTGTGCGCTCCACAAATACTGGTGGGTGGGACAGAGGGCTAAATCCTCCGCCATTTGTTTCTGGGAGGAGACGACTATTGACACCAGACATAGGCCATTCTTCTCTGCAGTTAGATCTACTTTGGGAGGTCAGAATGAGAACACCCATGGTATGGATGGGGATGGGAATGAACCTGTGGCAAAATTGGGACCTTTCAACATGCAGGTTTCCAATTCATGGCACCTCCGTGACAGCATACCAGTTCTCCAGAGGGTACCATCCAACTCCAGGCATGGCAGAAATCGAAAGATGCAAGGGACTGCAGGCTCCTTGACCTTGCCAGGCCTCCTACCTCTTCTTCAATTTCACCTCCATGATGTTTTGGAAAGCGTGCTCAACTGGAACAAATGGCTTCCACCTGGGCCACTGGAACATTCCAGTTTAAGGCACTTCCTTGCCTGCACACTGTCACGCTAATGGCTCCATCAAGTGGCTGTAACTTCATGAACCAAAAGACAGAAAGAGTATCAGCAAGAAGACTTGGCCGTGCAGTAGCCTGTAGCTGTCATTCACATACATCAACATGGCTTTTAGGAAAGTAGAAAGCATGCTATGTTGGTCTCCCATCAAAAGAAATCACAAAGAG